CCTGTAGTCCCAGCTACTTGGGAGGCTGAGGCAAGAGAATCACTTAAGCCCAGGAGTTGGAGGTTGCTGTGAGCTGTGATGCCATAGCACTCTACCCAAGGTGACAATTTGAGGCTCTGTCTCAAAAAATAAAAAATTAAAAAATAAAATGACTGTGTGGTTAAATTGATCTATTTCTCTCTCTCTCTCTTTTTAAAAATCTATCTCTAAATAATCTCTAGCTTTTGTGTTGAGCTTATAAAGACCCTTCCCACAGCTTGGCCCCTGTAGCTCAGTGGTTAGGGTGGGTTCGAACTGGGCCCAGGCCTGCCAAATAACAATGGCAATTACAACAACATCAAAAAATAGCTGGGCGTTGTGGCAGGCACCTGTAGTCCCAGCTACTTGGGAGGCTGAGGCAAGGGAATCACTTAAGTCCAAGAGTTTGAGGTTGCTGTGAGCTGTGACGTCACGGCACTCTACTCCAGGTGACATAGTGAGACTCTGTCTCAGAAAAAGAAAAAAAGACCCTTCCTATTGTGAGATTTAAAATGTTCTTATTTTTAAAATTTGCTTATCTTTTTGTCCTGTTTATGGGAATTCAGGAATCCCTGTGGGTAGTAGAACTGCCATGGTCATGTTAGAGTTTCCTCCCAGATGTTAGGGTTTTCTCAAGTCCATCTCTCCCTCCAGGGTGGTGGTTGGAGCCCCTCAGGAGATAAAGGCTCCTGACCAAACTGGTGGCCTCTACCAGTGTGACTATGCCATAGGCATGTGCGAGCCCATCCACCTGCAGGGTGAGTCACTGCTCCTGCCTGGGCCCTGGGGCTGGAATCCACCTGTGAGCACACCTGGTCTTCCCAGGCATCTCATGTTCTGGGGATCTGTGGTGGGGTTCACAGGAGTCTGGCTCTGTGGCCTCTAATCTGTACAGTCTGCCCAGACACCCTCGGGGAGCCTGTCATATTCCTTCCTCCGTGCCCCTTGACCTGTCAGTCCTCTGTGTCTCCCAGGTTGAGGTGGGTCCTGCCCAGCTCAGACACAGTCGCTCTCATCCCCCTGAGGGTGACTATGCACATATTTGTCCCCTCAGTCCCTCCGGAGGCTGTGAACATGTCCCTAGGTCTGTCCCTGGCAGCCGCCACCAACCCCCCCCAGCTGCTGGTGAGTAGCCCTGGTCACAGAAAGGTCTTGGGATGGGGGCAGGGATTGGGCGGACTAGTGGAGAGTGGAGATGCTGGGGAAAAGGACAGGGAGCGGAGAAGCCCTTTTTTCACTGGCACCCTGTCCCTCAGGCCTGTGGCCCCACCGTGCACCAGACTTGCAAGGAAAACACATACGTGAAAGGCTTCTGCTTCCTGTTTGGCTCCAACTTACTTCAGGAGCCCCAGAGGTTCCCAGAGATCCTCAAAGGTAGGTGGCCTTTGGCCAAGGGTACAGATGGGCAACATGAGACAGAAGATGGGATAGGCCTGGGCTGGGGACTGCTTATAGTCTGGGGGATAATTTAGAGGTCTAGGTGCAGAGGTGGGGGAACTGGGCTGTGAGAGAGAGAGAGAGAGAGGCTGGCAGGGGGTGCGAGGGGCTGGCACTTAAGAAAAGTCCTGGTATGGCCACTCACCTTTGTGGGAGAAGGGGCTCGGGGACCCTGAATTCACAGATGTCATCATCATTGTCCTTAGAGCAAGTGCCTGAATCTCCCAACCACAGCCTTTGCTGGTCTGGCTGCCTTTTCAGCCCCGCTCACCTCTCCAAACCCTCCCATCCCTTCTGCCACAGTCACTGTGCTGCGGCCACTCTGGCTGCCTTTCTTCTCCAGGAAGCCTACCCAGCTGGTCCTGGCTCAGGGCCTTTGTACTTACTATTCCTTTGGTCCTCTGTGCTCTTGCCCAGATCTCAGCCAACAATCCATTGATGGCATCTTGGCTCATGTGTCACCTCTTCCAAGAGGCTTTTCCTGTGTGGCCCTTTAGTCATTCTGGCCACTACTCCCCATCACATGGCCCTGCTTTACCCTCTTTATATGTACATGTTCATATTTTACCTGTTATTTATCTGTCTTTTCTTTGGTAACATAGGTTCCATGACAGCAGGGATATTGTCTAACTTGTTGGCTGCTACATGCCCTTTATCTATTGTTGCTTAAAAAATTATCTCTGAACTTAGCAGCTTAAAACAACAAGTATTCCTTACCTCAGAGTTTCTGTAAGTCAGGAATCTGGGGATGGCTTTGCTGAGTGCCTTTGCCTGAATGTGTCTTATGAGATTAAAGTCAAATTGTTCAATCAAATTGCTTTCATCTGAAGGCCTGGCTGGGGGAAGATCTACTTCTAAGCTCACTTATATGGTTGTTGGTCTGAGGCCTCAGTTCCTCACTGGCAGTTGGAGGCCTCCATCAGTCGCTTGACACATGGGCCTGTCCTTAGGGCAGCTCACAAAATAGCTGCTGGCTCCCCTTAGAGCAAGTGAACAGGACAGCAGGAGAGCAAGAGAGAGTGGGCACCCAAGACACCAGTCATAGTTTCTATAATCTAATTTCAGAAGTAACATCTCATTGATTCTGCCATATTCTGCTCTTTTAAAGTGAGTCAAAAAGTCAAGCTCACGCTCAAGAGGAGGGGATTATGCAAAGGTGTCACTGCCAGGAGGTGGAAATCCTGCAGACCATCTTGGTGGCTTCCCACCACACCCCTGTTCCCCAACATTTATTGATTGAGACACAGAGAGAAAGAATTAATGAACGAATGAGTGAATTGTTCATGTTGCTTTCTCCCATTGCTTTGTTTCAATTGCTTGATCATCTTTTTTGCTTGTGTCCAAGTTGGTTCTGGAACCAAATTCCTCCCTTTCACAATTTTTCTTTCTTAAGCCCTGCTCCTTTGTATTTCAGTCTTCTCAGAGGCCCCTCCTTCCTTTACGGAGAAAACAGATGCTTCCAGGCATGGTCTCCCTCCACTTCCCCCTTCTTCTTTTTCAAATTTCCATAACGGCACCACCTTTGGTAGTGTTTCCTCGGTTTTAGAAAAAGATCTGTTTCTCCTCTTTCCATGACCAATTCTTCCATCTGGGCTTTTGAAGGTCTCTGCTGCGCCAACTAAGAAGCCCACTTCTTCACCCCCTCATCTCTCTAGGAACTTTAATGTCCCCCCAAATGTAAACATGCTCCTGCAACCTATATTTTAAAAACAACAAACCACCCATATTGACAGCAATGAAAACAATCTTCCCTCTCATGGTCTCTCCTTATCTTCTGCTATCTCTCCATCTAAGCTTCTTGAAGCAGTTCTGTGGCTTCAGCTCGCCTTTCTACAAGGGCTCTCTCACCTCCCCTTCACAGTTCTTCACCTCTGACGTCTTGCTTCTCTGTGCATCCACAGTACAGATCTTGATCTTGACAATGGCATCATTGATACCCTGAATGCCAAATCTCTTTTCTGTCCTCACAATCACCGGCCTGGCTGGTGTGACCTGTAGATCCTCTAGACACCCCAGTCTCTGACATTCCTCCTTTTTTCTTCTCCCCTGCTGGGACTTCTCAGCATCACCCCCAGGCTGTCCTCCTTTGCCTACCCCATCCCCTCAGGAGTTCCACTTCTCTTCTTGCTTGTATGTTCTTCCTGTCTGATATCATCAGTTCTGTGGCTTCAGTCACCCATCTCTACAACTCTCTTTAAACTTCTGTCTTAGTCCATTTTGTGTTCTATGAAGGGTAACTTACAAGGAAATAGAGGTTTATTTGGTTCATGGTTCTGCAGGCTGCTGAAGAAGCTTGGTGTAAGCATCTGCTTCTGGTGAGGGCTTCAGGGAGCTTCCAACCAAGGCAGAAGGTGAAGGAGGAGCAGGCCTGTCACATGGCAAGAGAGGGAGCCAGAGTGAGAGGAGGGAGTGCCAGGCTCTCTTAAACAACCAGCTCTCCAGTGAACGAACAGAGTGAGAACTCACTCACTGCTGAGAACTCACTCATTACCTCGAAAGCACACCACGCCATTCAGGAGGGCTCAGTCTCCATGACCCACACACTTCCTACCTCCAACACTGGGGAACAAATTTCAACATGAGATTGAAGGGGAGAAACATTCAGACTATAACAACCTCACTTCCAGGAGTTCAAGACTACTTCTTAGTTTCGTTCCTTGTTACTTATAAACATGTAATGCGTGCACTTGGTTTAAAATTCAGTATGCAATAAGCAAAAGATATACTGTGAAAATATCCTTCTCTCTGGTCAGGAAACTGCTGTTGCCAGTTTCTTGTGTTTTCTTCTGGAGAAACTCTGTGTATACAAACATACACATACGTATATATTTTTTCACCTTTGTGCCACAAATGGTAGCATGCTACCCACACTATTCTGTACCTTGATTTCTTCACTTAACAATATATCTCTGATTTTCAAAAAATTTCCTGGCTAGTTTGCTTTGTAAAGTTGCCACATAAACATTAGAATCTGCTTTTCTAGTCACAAAAATGCCAATACTTTTTAGAGTATTTTATATTATTATTATTGTTTTTGAGGCTGAGTTTCACTCAGTCACCCTGGGGTTGAGTGCTGTGGTGTCATAGCTGACAGCAACCTCAAACTTCTGGGTTCAAGGGATCCTCTTGCCTCAGCCTCACTAGTAGCTGGGAATACAGGTGCCTGCCATGACACCTGGCTAGTTTTTCTATTTGTAGAGATGGGGTCTTGCTCTTGCTCAGGTTGGTCTCCAACTCCTGAGCTCAAGGGATCCACATCCCTCAGCCTCCCAGAGCACTAGGATTATAGGTGCTAGCCACCGCACCCAGCCTATATTATTTTTTAATACAGTAAAATGGACCTGTTTTTCTTTGAGCGTTCAGCCATGAATTTTAACATATTCATGTTGAACATATTTTGTGTAACAATCACTGTCTGTAATCGGGGCACAAAAGTTCCTTTATCTCCCTAAAACTTCTTTCCTGCTGTTCTCCCGCCCCCCCACTCCCCCAGCTTCTGGCAGCCATTAGTCTCTTCTCTATCACTATGGTTTTCTGTCTTTTCAAGAATGTTACATAAATGGAATTGTAACCTTTTGAGACTGCCTTTTTTTTTTCTTTGCAGTTCTTGGTTGGGGCTGGGTTTGAACCTGCCACCTCCGGCATATGGGGCTGATGCCCTACTCCTTTGAGCCACAGGCACCACCCTGAGACTGCCTTCTTTCTCTAGCATTTGAGCCTTATCCATGATGTTGTGCATGTCCAAGGTTCACTCCTTTTTCATTGCGGAGCAGTGTTCCATTGTGTGGCTTTCCCACAGTCATTCACTGTTCACGCACTGAAGGATTTTTGGGTTGTTTCTAGTATTTGGCAATCATGAGTAGAGCTGTATAAACTCCTCACTGCTCTGACAATCTCTCTAAAATACAATACAAGTCATTCCTATTCTGAGAACCTTCAGTGGCTCCCCATTGCCTAGGGGTAAAGTTGAATTTCTCCTGGGAGTAGAGAGGCCCTTGCCAGCTGTTCTCTGCTTAATGTCAGAGCCTTGTCTCCATCCCCATCATGTACATTTACCCCAGTTCCATAAATGGCTTTCTTTGATTCTTTCAGAATCCATTTGGGCCTCATCTTCTTTGTATCACTCAGAGTCTCAACTAGGAAAGATGGCACAACCCAATCACAGTAATTTGAGGAGGGTGTATTTATAAAAGGACTAAGTATAAAGGTGTGATAGGGTCTAAGGGAGCCATCAGGATAGTCTAAGCACAGCAGAGCAGACCTGTTACCACCCCTAGGCTGATGGGATGAGGAGAGGGTCAGGTCACCAGAATCCAGAGAGTTACATGGAGCACACGTCCTTGAGAGGAGCAGTGGTCTTTTGTTAAGGACATAGTTGGCTCAAGACAACCTCACATGGGAGGATAAGGATAAGGATCAGGGATAAGACCCTGATCTCACTCCCCTCCTGTTGACCCCAAAAGAACACTGGTGATGAGATCTATATAAGTTGACTTCCTGGGCCACAGAGCTGAGTGGAGAAGGATAGATGTGGGTATAGGGGTGGAGGCAGAGGGGAGCACATCCAACGTACCCTGAAATGAGCTATTCCTTTTTCTATAATTTCTTTCTTTCTTTGTATTTCTGGCAAATTATAACATTTCTTGTTCATCATGATCCAGTTGAATGTCACCATTTTCCCTGACTCCCATGGGCCCCAAAGTTCCCATACCACTTTGTTTATTATGTTTTTATCTAGCTTGGAGCATGGATTGAATCTTGTTTACTTGTTATTCTCATTGCTCAGCAGAGAGCTGTTAAGCAAGGAATAAATGAGCACCAAGTCTCTAATCACTTAATTGATTCATACTCTTTTTCTTCTTCTTCCCTAGGGTGTCCTCAACAGGATAGTGACATTGCCTTCTTAATTGATGGCTCTGGTAGCATCAACCCAATTGACTTTCAGCGGATGAAGGATTTTGTCTCAACTGTGATGGAGCAATTTGTAAAGTCCAAAACCTTGGTGAGGGCCAATGGGTAGGTTAGGAACAGCCCATATGGGGGTGGCAGATGCTTGCCTACTGCGTTCTCCTACTTCAATTGTAGACATTGCCAAGTTGACAATCCACTGTGGTCTTCTTTCCTCCTTTTTCTGGATGTAGCTTCAGCATTCTTTCAGCCTTTTGTAAAACAGGCAACCCTGACTGATTGATAGGGACTGGCTTGGGAGATGAAACCAGCATCACATTTCTGGCTGAATTCTGGTATTGAGAAGAAGTGGGAGCTGATGGCTGATCTCTGATGGAAGAGGGACTAGGGGCAGGGCAGGGAAGGAATTGGAGACTGAAATGTTTCAGTGTTTCAAGATTTAGGTAGGGCTTGTTGGAAGATGTTTAAGGGAGTGGGGACACCTTCTCCAGTGTAATACCAGGTGCCCTCTTCCAGTTTGCTTTGATGCAGTACTCTGATGACTTCTGGACTCATTTCACCTTCAAAGACTTCCAGGAAAACCCCAACCCCAAATCCCTGTTGAGGCCAGTGAAACAGCTGCAGGGGAGGACGCATACTGCCACAGGAATCCGCAAAGTAGTGTAAGCTCTTCCCTCTTTGGTAAGGGTGGGAAGAGGAGGAGATACTTTTAGCTGGGCTAGGAAGGATGAAAGGAGTTGTTCATGCACGGCTGGGGTTCAGGGTGTTTCCAGGGGAGGAAACAGCGTGGGAAAGGTGTGGAGGGACCATGCCTACTGTGTTCATGAAAAACAAGTGTGAGTAAAGGTGAGGGTAAAGCGGGGAAGTGAGAGAAAAAGGTGGCTTGAGGGAGGCTAGAAGGGTTGGTTGAGGTCAGATCACTAAAGGCAACTTTATAGCCAGTTGGGGATCCATTGAAGGTTTTAAACAGTGGGGAGACATCCCCACACTTTATTTTGGAAAGTTCATACTGATTTCGGGGTGTGTGTGTGTGTGTATGTGGAGGAGAGGGTAGGGTTGGGACAGAAGTGCAGGAAGGACTCGAGAGTCCCAGGTGTGCTAGAGAGCTAGTGCAGTGTTCTAGAAGAGGTTAGATGAAGGCCTAATTAAATTTATTTCTTTAAACTTAAAAAAAAATTGGAAATGATAGCATTCAGTTTAAAAAACCAAGCTATGGGCAGTCCCTGTAGCTCAGTGGGTAGGGCGCTGGCCACATACACCAAAGGTGGTGGGTTTGAACCCAGCCTGGGCCAGCTAAAATAACAACGACATTTCAGCCAAAAAATAGCCAGGCGTTGTGGTGGGTGCCTGTAGTGCCAGCTACTGGGGAGGCTGAGGTAAGAGAATCGCTTAAACCCAAGAGTTTGAGGTTGCTGTGAGCTGTGACACCATGACACTCTACCCAGGGTGACAGCTTGAGACTCTGTCTCAAAAAAAAAATATAAATAAATAAAACACCAAAAAACAAAAAACAACCAAGCTATGGAAAAGTATACATAGGCGTGAAGGCTTCCTTTCTCTCTCCTGGCCTTCCAGGTCTTGGGGCAGTCATATCTCAGTGTTAAGACCCAGGAGAGGCTAAGCTTCTCCTAGGCAGAGCCCAGCTGTATCTGTGTCTGTGACTCTGCTGACTTTTCTTTCCTAACATTAATAACATCTCTGTCTACTTGCATTTGACTTTGTCCCTTCTTTTCCCTGCACAGAAGAGAACTGTTTAATGTCACCAAAGGAGCCCGTGAGAATGCCCTTAAGATCCTAGTTGTCATAACAGATGGAGAAAAGTTTGGTGATCCTTTGAAGTATGAGGATGTCATCCCTGAGGCAGACAAAGAAGGAGTCATTCGCTATGTCATTGGGGTAGGAAATATGGCCTGACACTTCTGCTGAGGTTTTCTATTTGGATACACCCTCTCTTCAATTTGAAGTGAAATATGAGTAAACTCAGAGTGAGGAAAGGGTTATTGCTAGCTCATATGCACCTGTATCAGTTATCTGTTGTCACAATAATGCTGTATAACAAACTTCAAAAATTCAGTGGCTTAAAATAACAAATAAGCCTGTAGGTCAACTGGGCAGGTTTTTCTGGTCTTAGCTGGGCTCACTCACACATCTGTAATCAACTGCAGGTTGTCAGGCAGATCTGCTGATCTTGGCTAGGCTCTCTTCATTTCTGAGGGTTGCCAACTATGTCTGTCTACTGAACTAGATGGCCTTTGTTGGAACAACTGGGGTGATTGTACTCTTCACTCCCTGGGTCTTATTTTCCAGTGGGCTACCCTGGGCATGTTTTCATGGTGAAAGCAGAGAAACAAGAGAGCAAGGGTAGATGTTGCAAGTGCTTTTTCAAGCCTCTGTTTGCATTACATTTGACAACATCCATGGGCTAAAGCAAGACCCATGGCTAAGCCCAGAGACAGTGAGTGAGGCAGATTACTTTATTAAGACAAGGATGACAGAGGCCACTACTGGTGAAACCATGTGGGTTTTTTTTGACTCAGAGGACATGCAGATCAGCTAGATCTAGGTCCAGGGAGTCCCAGTGATGGCCCAAACCTGGGCTCACCCAGCCAGGGTGTCCCAGAGGAGCCAAATGCTTCATGGAACCATCCAGCCTTCAAGTTGTGCTACGGAGTCATAGTTGCAGCTGACTCCAGAGCTATAGCAGGTGCTTACATTGCCTCCCAGATAGTGAAGAAGGTGATAGAGACCAATGTTTACCTCTTGGGCACCATGACTGGGGGTGAAGCAGATTGTAGCTTCTGGGAGCAGCTGTTGGCTCAGCAATGTTGGGTCTATGAGCTTTGAAATAAGGAGCGCATTTCCATAGCAGCTGCCTCTAAGCTGCTTACCAATGATCTGTAACTGGTATAAGAGAGGCCCTGGCCTCTACCATGTGGATAGTGAAAGGAACCAGATCTTGGGGGTCACCTTCTCTGTAGGTTCTGGCTCTGTGTATGTTTATGGGGTCATGGACTGGGGCTACTCCTATGATCTGAAAGTGGAGCAGGCCTATGATCTGGCCTGTTGAGCCATCTACCAAACCATGTACAGAGATGCCTACTCAGGAGGTTCAGTCAACCTCTACCACGTATGGGAGGGTGGTTGGATCTATGTCTCCAGTGACAGTGTAGCTGATCTACATGACAAGTATAGGGGATCTACTGCCTGAAGGAGGATGGATGTGACTACATGCATTTTGAGGTGTGACCGTCATTAGTAGTATGTATACAGCATCCCACCCTATCTATAGTGGAAGGGTCCTCAATTGTGTTGATACTTATTTTTAAGCTCTGGAACATTGGCCTCTGTGTGGTAGCAGTTGTTAGTGAGCTACTGCAGAGGTGACTATTGGTTTTACTTTCCTGGATATTAACATCACACTACTCATTACTAGGGAAAAAAAAGAGTAGGATGGCACAGCAAAGCTTTGGGGAAAGAACTTGGACAAAGGAACAGGAAGAGAGTTAGGATCTCAGTGTAATCAAACTACCATAACACTTTGTGTAACATAGAAAAAGATATTATCACTGATGCATAGCTTAGCAAGTAGGAAATACCCTCATATTAAAAAAAAAAATCTCCCCTTCCTCTGGGAAGCATGGCATGGCAAATGGACCAAAGGCTTTTTAGCTCTCAGAAGCTTCCTATACTTTGAAGCTCTGTCCCAGGGCCTTCCGGTACATTCTCTCATTTCACAAATCATGTTTCAGATTCTTTTCCTGCATGATTTTCTTTGCTAGATGATGCTGTTACCCTTAGGCAGTGTATGACCTGGCCTCTGTTCCTTGGCAACAGGTGGGAGATGCCTTCAACAGTATGAAATCCATCCAAGAGCTTAATACCATTGCATCCAAGCCACCTCGTGATCACGTGTTCCGGGTGACTAACTTTGAAGCTCTAAAGACCATTCAGAACCAGCTGCAGGAAAAGATCTTTGCGATTGAGGGTGAGCAGGCATCTGTGTTCCCAGAACAGCTCCAGAGGTACTCTCTAACCCCAAACATATATTCCCCTCTAGAAACTAGACCCTCCTAACCCTTGGTATCCTGACTGCCAGTATCAACTCTTCACTTCCTCCAGCTCCCAGCCACCCTGGCCTCAGGTGGTCAATTTCTTTGAATCAAAGCATCTACATTCTTACCTCTAATTTTGCAAGTCTTGGTTACAGGCTGATAAGTTGGAGTGTGGGGGAGTCACATCCCACATGGTGTTTTTTCCCCCAAATTTGGATGTGTTGCCAACATTTGTCAGTTTAGTTCACTGTTATGTCCCTGCTGCCTAAAATTGTGCCTGGTATACAGAAGGTGCTCAATAAATATCTGTTGAATAAAAGTAATTTAGTAATTGGGGGGTTTATATACAATCTGGATTTATGGCTTATCTTGGAAAGTTGAAGGATTAGCCACTTTGAGGACCACATTCCTGCTTGGCAAGAAGTAGCTGGCGCTGAATAGATGCCATCCCTTTAAGAGGGGCATGTGCTCTCCAGTTCTACACAAATTCCACCTGAGCCTCCTTCTGTTTGTTCCTCAAAGCATTTGAGTTTCTAGCATTTGTTCTAGGTACTTCTGCTTTCTTTAATGTAGAAAGTTCTCCTCACAGGTACTCAGATGGGAAGTACCAGTTCCTTTGAGCATGAGATGTCTCAGGAAGGCTTCAGTGCAGCTATCACCTCTGTAAGTGGTTCTTCATTAAGTTGAGGGCAGGGAGTGAAAAGAGAAAGAGATAGAGGAGGTTTAAGGGTTTGGAGGTTCTTCTCTGTGATAGGTACTTACTGGGGGTTACCTCTTCGTTGGGTAGCAGTGGTCCTTTCTCTCTTTCTCATCAATCCTTTCCTACCCCTTTCCCCAGAATGGTCCCTTGCTGGGTGCTGTGGGAAGCTTTGACTGGTCTGGTGGAGCCTTTCTGTACACATCAAAGGAAAAATTCAGCTTCATCAACACAACCAGAGTAGATTCAGACATGAATGATGCTTACTTGGGTAAGTGGGGAGGGCAGAGGTTCAGGATGTGGCATAACTCAACTACTGTAGATGTCATTGGATCTTTTGTAGGCCTTTGGGATGGCTTTAAAGATAGAAATTTCAAAATTTAATTTTTATTATATTTATAAAGAAGAATATAATGCAGGGCTCAGTTCAACCTGCCAAGCATTGGGCTGCCCCATTGTTCTGTTCAATGGATGGGTTTGCATGGTGGAGAAGGGGGCAGAGGAAGTATTTCACTGCTTAGCCCGTCATCTCCAGGTTATGCTGCTGCAGTCATCTCACGGAATCGGGTGCAAAGTCTGGTTCTGGGGGCACCCCGACATCAGCACATTGGCCTGGTGGTGATGTTCAGACAGAATTTCGGCACCTGGGAGTTCAACGCTGCTGTCAAGGGTAGCCAGGTGAGTGCATGAATGTGCAAACAAAGGTTCCCTCGGGGCTGAGAGGTCCTAGGATTGACATTGTCAAATGCCATTCATGGTTGATTCTTGTAAAGGCGCCTTCAGAGAGCTTTGAACTGGGGAGTCATGGGATCAGCTTTTGTATTTCAGAATGCTACATCCTTAGCTTTTCCAACTAACAATAATAAATAAGAATGCTTGACCTATACAGAGCTGATCTCAGAGCTGGTATTCAACTGGCATGTAACCCGTACAGCCATATTAGTTATAAAATATTAAAATAGTTCCTTATCTGTTGATAAATGGCTACTTCCCCCTCACCCCTACACTCTGCCTCTTTTCCCAGTACCCTTTGGACTTTCCTATGATCCAGCAACTATGGGGTCAGGTAGAACACCTTGGGGGACCTCCAGGGCCTGCTCCAGTCAAGCTCCAAGTATTATTCCTTGATCCCTATGCAGCCCTAGTGCTTTAATATTTTGAATGTCACCCCCTGAAAAATCTATATAGTTGCATATTATGTGGGAATTGGTGTGTGAGGCAAAAATCTCTAGTCAAAACCATTCTTGCGAATTCCTGCAACAGGGCTGCATCCATGATATTGTGTCTGTGGTTCTGTGTGCTTTTCTTTAATTTTCATCACTGGTCCTTTTTGGTCTGCAATTAATGTGAATGAAACCACTTTGCCCTGATATTCAAACAGCTTTTCATAATTCTTTGCTAATAGTCAAATACTTCACATGGTCTTTTCAAATGTTTTACACACACTGACCAGTGATGCTGTCAGTGCCTGGCACATATAAAGGGTGGGTGGAGGAGAGTGTTAGGGGAATTCCAAGAAGTCAAGTGTGGCTGTGATGTTACTTGTTTTGTGTGTGTGGTCAAGGATCACATGAGGGGGGATGGTTGGTCAACTGCCCTGCTATACACAAACTCTTGCAAATTACCATCAAGGGTGATAAATGCTTAAACTTATGAGAGCAAATGGGAGGGGCACTTACATAAGGGCATTGGGAAGGCTTCCTGGAGGAAGTGACAGTTAAGTCAAGGCCTAAGACAGAAGAAGGAGAGAAGTGAAGGGGAGGGGAGGGGAAAGAGAAGGACCATGGGAGGGAGGAGAGTATAGGAAAGAGTTCAGAGTGCAGGTGTTTGGGATGGGAGGAGTGGGGGAAGAAAACAACAGAAAGAAGGATAGGTGTGGTTTATCTCAGGCATGAAGGACTTGTTCAGTGTTTGAAAAATCAATGTACAGCTGGGAGTGGTGGCACAAGCCTGTAATCCCAGCTACTTAAAGGAGAACAGAGTTAGAGGACTCACACTTCCCAATTCAAAATTCACAAATCCACAGAGGGAAGAATTAGATCAGTGGTTTCCAGGGGATGTGGGAGGGAGTGGGGATTGGGAGTGGTTGCTAACAGATAGAAAGTTTCATTCTGGAGAGATGGAAGTGTTCTGGAATTAGAGGTGATAGTTACACAACAACACTCATGTAAAATGGTGCATTTTACGTGAAGTAAGTTTTAACTCAATTTTAAAAAGCCATTAAAAAAATCACTGAAATTCACTATAACAGCAGATCAGAGAAGGAAAAACATGTAATTATCTTCATACATATAGGAAAATGATTTGACAAAATACATACAACATCCTTTCATGTTTAAAGACTCAGCAAACTAGTAAACCAACGGGAAATTCCTCAACCTGTAAAAGAACATTTACAAAACATCATTTACAGCTGGCATTATACTTAAAAGCGAAAGAGAATGCTTTTCTCCTAAAATTGGAAATAAGGTAAGAATGTCCACTTTCGCTATTCCTAGTCATCATGGAAGAGCTAGTGCAATAAAGCAAGAAAAAGAAGGAAAAAAGCATTCAGAGTGGAAAAGAAGAAATAAAAATATCTTTATTTGGAGATGACACTATTTCATAGAAAATATCAAAGACTGTAAAGTAGCTGCTATAAATTATAGGTTATTTCAGTAAATTTGGAAGATGCAAGATCAATATGTAAAAATAATTTGTATTTGTTATTATCCAGTAGTTATCAAATAATTAAATAAATGATTAAATTATTGTTATTAAAAATAATTTCAGTAATAATGTCAGTAAACGATTAGACATTTAAATAAAAAGTGTCTTTTACGATAGTGCCAAGGACCAGGTAATACTTAGGTATAAACCTAACCAAATGTCTACTATGCCTGTATGCTGAAAATTACAAAACATTAAGGAGAGAAATCAAAGACTGAAACAAATGGAGAGATATTTGGTGGTCCTGGACTGGAATGTTGGAATCCCAATATTGTTAAGATGTGAGTTCTCTCACAGTTGATCCATAGCAGTGGCTCTCAACCTTCCTAATGCTGCGAACCTTTAATACAGTCCAAATGGGTTCTGACCCACAGGTTGAGAACCACTGATCTATAGAGTCAATGCAATAAAAATCCTGGATAGGCTCAGCACATAGCACAGTGGTTATGACGCCAGATACACACACTGAGGCTGGTGGGTTTGAACCCAGCCTGGGCCAGCTAAACAACAATGACAACTACAACAAAAAAATAGCTGAGCGTTGTGGTGGGCACCTGTAATCTCAGTTACTTGGGAGGCTGAGGTTAGAGAATCACTTAAGCCCAAGAGTTGGAGGTTGCTGTGAGCTGTGATGCCACAGCATTCTACCGAGGGCAACATAGTAAGACTGAGTCTCAAAAAAAAAAAAAAAAATCCTGGATAATAGTTCGTTGTGTATTTGTACCACGTTTTCTTTATCCATTCCTCCATTGATGAACACTTAGACTGAGTCTATATCTTAGTTATTATGAATAGTGTTGCAATAAACATGGGAGTGCAGATATCTCTTTGATGATACTGGTTCTTTTTCTTTTGAATCTATACCTAGAAGTTCTATTTTTAAGTTTTTGAGGAATCTCTATGCTGTTTTTCATAGTGGCCGTACTAACTTCTATTCCTACCAACAGTGTACTAGCATTCCTCTTTCTCTGCATCCTTGCTAACATTCATTTATTCTTTTGGATAAAAGCCACTTTAGGGCCAAGTGTGGTGGCTCATGCCTATAATCCTAGCACTCTAGGAGGGAGACCCCATCTCTAAAAAATAGCTTGGGAGGCTGAAGCAAGAGGATCACTTGACCCCAAGAGTTTGAGGTTGCTGTGAGCTATGATGCCATAGCACTCAACCCCTCAACCCCAGGGTGACAGAGTGAGACTGTCTCCCAAAAAAGCCATTTTACCTGGGGCAAGATGATGAAAATCTACTTGATATGATTTCAGTCTTCTTGAATTTTTTAAGACTTGTTTTGTAATCTAACATATGATCTATCTAAATACTATTTCATGTGTGTTTGAAAAGGTTATGTATTCTGTAGCTGTTGGATGGAATGTTCTGCATATGTTGATCTAGTGTTGTTTCCTTATTGATGTTCTGTCGGGACATTCGACCCATGTTGAAAGTGGGATATTGAAGTCCCCTAATACATATTATTATAATATAATGTCACTATTATTATAATGCTGTCTATTTCTCCCATTAGTTCTGCTAGTATTTGCTTAATCTTTTTAGGTGCTCTGATGTTGGGGGCATGTATTTTTTTAATTGGTACATCCTCTTGATGATTTGATTCCTTTATTATTATTTAATGACCTCCTTTGTCTCTTATGGCAGTTTTGACATAAGGTCTATTTAGTCTGCTATGTTAATAAATATGGCTCTCTTTTAGTTGACATTTAGATGGGATCTCTTTTTCCATCCCTTCACTTTCAATCTTTGTGGGTTCTTAAATCTAAATTGAGTTCCTTATAGGCAGCATGTAACTGGATTTTAAAATCCATTCAGACACTCTGTGTCTTTTGATCAGATAATTATTTTTTTGAGACAGAATTTCATTATGTCACCCTTGGTAGAGTGCTGTGACATCATAGCTCACAGCAACCTCAAACTCTTGGGCTTAACTGATTCTCTTGCCTCAGCCTCCTTAATAGCTGGGATTACAGGTGCCTACCACAATGCCTGGCTATTTTTTGATTGCAGTTGTCATTGTTGTTTAGCAGGCCTGGGCTGGGCTCAAACCCACCACCTTGGGTGTATGTGGCTGGTGCCCTACACACTGAGTTACAGGTGCTAAGCCTTGATTAGATAATTTAATCTATTTACATTTAAAATAATTATTGCTGGTAGGAATTATTATTGCTGTCTTGTTCATTATTTTCTGACTCTTTTGTAGCTCCTTTGTTTCATTCTTTCTCTCTTGCTGTGTTTCTTTGTGATTTTGTTTATTTATTCATTTTGGTAGTGGCATGCTGACATGCTTTGATTCCTTTCTCTTTACATTGGTGTGTCTACTACAGATTTTTTACTTTGTAGATACTACGAGGCTTACATAAAACATCTTTTTGTTATACACAGTCTAAGCTGGTAACAGTTTTATGACATACAAAAACTCACACTTTAATGTCTCCTCCCCCCATATTTTAGGGTATTAATGTCATACTTTACCAATTGATCTTCTCTTCCTTCTCCTCCTCTGCGTCCTCTTCCTTATTCTTTCTTCTTTCTTCAACGGGGTCTCACTTTGTTACCCAGGTTGGAGTACAGTGTCATGATCATAGCTCACTGTGGCCTTGGACTCTTGAGCTCAAGTGATCTTCCCACCTGACTCTCCTAAGTATCTAGCTCCAGGCACCTGCTACCACGCCTGGCTAATTAAAGAAAATGTTTTTGCAGAGACGGGGTCTCACTATGTTGCCCTAGCTGATCTCAAACTCCTGATCTTAAGCAATCATCCCACCTTGACCTTCCAAAGCCCTGGGATTATAGGTGTGAAATATGGTGCCTGGTCCCAAATTGATTTTCAATAAAGGGGCAAACGAAGTTTCATGAAGAGTCTGTTCAACAAGTGGTACAGGAAAAATTGGACATCCAGTCAAAAAATAAATCTCTTATCTTCTTAGCTTTGTCTTTAAAATAAAAAACCTCTACCCATATAAAATTAATTTAAAATAACTATTTCTTATAAAGTTTAATGTACAGTTACCATCCCAGCAATCTCATTCCTAAATATTTACTGAAGATAAATGAAAACAGATGTCCACAAGAGAACGTGTATGCAAATATTTCTAGTAGCTCTATCGATAGTCATTAAAAATTAGAAAGAAGGGGTCGCGCTGTGTCTCAAAGGAGTAGGGTGCTGGCCCCATATGCTGGAGGTGGCGGGTTCAAACCCAGCCCTAGCCAAAAACTGCAAAAAAAAAAAAAAAAAAAAATTTAGAAAAAAATCCAAATGTCTTCAACTAGGGGATACAAATATGCAATAAAAAAGAGCGAATTACCAATACATGTGACAAGACAGATGAATCTTAAGTGCAATTGCTGTAGGTGAAAAAGGTCAGACCAAAATCCTACATCCTGTACCATCCTATATATTCCTTACTTATCTTGGAAAAGGCAGAATTACAAGGAGAGAAAGCAGATTGGTTGTTGCCAGGTGTTGGTAGTTGAAGGAGAAAAGTTGACTAAAATGGGGCATGAGGGAATATTTTGGGGGTGATGAAACTATTCTATATCTTGACTATGGTGATGGTTATGACTTTGTATGTTTGTCAAAATTTATAAAAGTGTATACCAAAAGGGCTAAGTTTTTTTCTATATAAATTACATAGTAGAACCTCTAATTTGACTACCCAGGGGACTGTAACAAACTGGTCAACATACAGAGTTGGTTAACATAAGGAACTTCTTTCCTTCCACTGAGTACATGTGGTTCAAGTCTGCTCTATGAAGATTAGGTCAACTTAAAGAGATGGTCAGTGTGGGGAGGTGGTCAACTATGGAGGCAACTACAGTGCCTTCATAAACCTAACCTAACCAACCCAAATCCTGCTGACTTTAGGATAAAGTTTAAATGCCTCTTTTGGGTTCTTAGTGAGTCTTCCCTCATTGTGTGTGGGCAGAGATCATACTGTGTATAGAGTCCTGGCATGATGTTCCCCACAGTTTTTCTTCCTAGAACTTGGCCCTGTCTATGTGGTTACTACTCTCCCCCCATCCTGCTGCACTGAGGTCCTTGGAGGGCACTGTGTCTCTCCTGTCCAGCCATGTGCTCAGCAAATAGCAAACCCTTGTTTGTTGAATGAATGGATGATTAAACGGATGAATTCTATGGATGAATGGTATATATTAACATTGGACATATTTTAAAGTGGATACCACTTTCACTGGTAGGTAGACATTATTACTTAATATCACAAAAAATATTCCTGGGTAGCAATAGTCATTTTTAATCCAGCCAGATGATTTCTTATTAATTAGATTGTCAAATTTGACTTTTTACGCTCCTAAGAATTTCCGTTATTTTGAGAGTGTATCTTGTTTGCTCTTCTAGGCTTTTATGTTCTTATTTTCCAATCTAATTTCTTCTTTGCTTATTTAATAATGTCCCCTGAAATAACATTTGGGGAAATCCTCACCCGATGTTCATTGGCTCTATAAAGGTCTCTTCTAGCTGACAGCACCTTCAAGAGGATTTATCATGAATCATACAGAAGATCACATCTACTCCAAAGGGCTTTCCCCACATGGCATAATTCTCTCCCATACTCTGCTTTAGTATGATAATTAATGGCCCCCATGTCTTTCAGATCGGCTCCTACTTTGGGGCCTCCCTCTGCTCTGTGGACATGGACGGCAGTGGCAGCACCAACCTGATCCTCATCGGGGCACCTCATTACTATGAACAGACCCAGGGGGGCCAAGTGTCTGTGTGCCCCTTGCCCCGGGGAGTGAGTAGCTGATGAATCTTGGGCTGGGTGGGGTCTGCATGTAGGGTGAAGGGGTTGCTTTGGTTTGGGCCTGACAATGTTTGTATTCAGCAGAGGACTCGGTGGCAGTGTGATGCTGTTCTCCATGGTGAACAGGGCCACCCCTGGGGCCGCTTTGGAGCAGCCCTAACAGTGCTGGGGGATGTGAATGGGGACAAGCTGACGGATGTGGCCATTGGGGCCCCTGGAGAGCAAGACAACCAGGGTGCGGTCTACATTTTTCATGGAACTTCAGGATTTAGCATCAGCTCCTCCCACAGCCAGGTGAGACCAGCCTCTTTACTAATCTGTCCCCTTCTAATTCAATGTTCCCATAGCTACCAGATCAGTTCTCCCAGTCCTTTCAGAACGCATGCCTCCTAGAACCTCAGAGAATCTTAATTCCAGAGTAATGGTGCATGGGGCATCATTACTCCAACTTCACAGATGAGTAGATCAAGGCCCGGAGATGGTAAACGGCAAGCTGGCGGTATTGGATATAGGCATTCCTTTATTCTGGGAGGGTGACCAGCACCAGTACTGGCTTGCCCAGATCTTTCCTGGTTGTAGGAAAGTCCCACATGTCAGGAAATCTGTAAAGTTGGTCACCTTGTGGGACTACATGCTTCATGGGTGTTGACTTGTGCGGTCACACAGGGCCCTGTGCTTGGCTTAAGGCTCTGCCATTGCCATCTTAAATTCTTAATACATTTTGAACAGGATGTCCCACATTTTTCTTTTGTATTGGGTCTTGCAATTATATAGTTCATCCAGATGACTGATCACCTAAATGCTGGCCCCTATACCTGGTTTCCTCTTGAAGATAGCTCTCTATTTCCTGCCAGATGGAGATGGCTGTCTGGAGGGAACCTCACAGTTTGGTTCCACCTCACCTGTCACGTTCTTTCCCATCATAGCCAGCAGAGGCCATCTGGTCTTCTGGCCTTTGGTCTCTGGCTCCTTACCATCTTCATATTAGAACAATTTATTATTATTACTAAATTATTGGATAAGAACCCTTGGAATGAGACCTCCCCTATTAACAGATTTTGTTTTATTTTATTTTATTTTTTGAGACAGAGCCTCAAACTGTTGCCCTTGGTAGAGTGCCCTGGCATCATAGGTCACAGCAACCTCCAACTCCTGGGCTTAAGCAATTCTCTTGCCTCAGCCTCCCAAGTAGCTCGGACTACAGGTGCCCGCCATAATGCCTAGCTATTTTTTTTTTGGTTGTAGTTATTGTTGTTTGGCAGGCCTGGGCTAGATTTGAACCCACCAGCTCTGATGTATGTGGTTGGCACCTTAGCCACTTAAGCCACAGGCACGGAGTCTCTTAACAGATTTTAAAATGTACAGTTAAATAGTGTTCTTTATTAGCAAAATGTTATCCATCAGACCTCTAGAATGTATCTTGCATAATTGATTTTTTTTCTTTTAGACAGAGTCTCACTATGTTTCCCTGGGTAGAATGCTGTGGCATCACAGCTCACAGCAACCTCAAACTCTTGGGCTTAAGTGATTCTCTTGCCTCAGCCTCCCAAGTAGCTGGGACTATAGGCACCCACCACAATGCCCGGCTATTTTTTGGTTGTAGTTGTCATTGTCGTTTGGCAGGCTTGGGCTGGATTCGAGCCCTCCAGCTCCAGTGTATGTAGCTGGTGCCCTAGCTGCTGAGCTACAGGCGCCAAGCCACATAACTGAAATTTTATACTCATTTATTTTACTTTATTTTTATTTTATTTTTATTTTTTGAGACAGAGTCTCCCTCTGTTATCCTGGGTAGAGTGTTGTAGCGTTACCTCACAGCAACCTCAAACTCTTGGACTTGAGCAATCCTTTTGCCTCAGCCTCTGGAGTAGCTGAGACTATAGTTGCCCACCACAATGCCTGGCTAGTTTTTCTGTTTTTAATAGAGATGGGATCTTGCTCTTGCTCAGGCTGGTCTCGAACTTGTGAGCTCAAGCTCAAGCTCTGGCTTTGGCCTCCCAGAGTGCTGGGGTTACAGGTATGAGTCATCATGCCCAGAATATAGTTATTAATTAGCAAGTCCCATTTCGCCCACACCCAGCCCCTGGCAAGCTCTATTCTCAGCTTCTGTGATTTTGACTATTTTGGATAACTCATATAAATGGAGTCATGCAGTATTTGCCCTTCTGTGACTGGCTTCTTTTCTTTAGAATAATGGTTTATCAATGAAAGGCTGAATAACATCCAGTATCCCCCTATATATATTTTTTAAATTTGTCATCTGTTGATGGGTTTAGGTTGTTTTTACATCTTGGCTATCGTGACTAGTGCTGCAGTGAACATGGGCATGCTAATATCTCTTGCAAATCCTGATTTCAAGTCTTTTGGTTAAATACTCAGAAGTGGAGTTGTTGGATCATATGGTAATTCCACTTCTAATTTTTTTGAGGAACTACCATATTGTTTTCCATAGGAACTGCATCATTTTGCATTCCTACCAGCAGTCTGCAAAGGTTCTGATTTCTCCATATCTTTGTCAACAAATTGTCTTTTTTTGTTTTTGTTGTTGTTAATAGCCATCCTAATGGTTGTGAAGTGATTTGTGGTTTTGATTTGCATTTCCCTGATAATTAATAAAGTTGATCATTTTTTATACATCTATTGACTGTTTATATGACTTTGGAAAAATCCCTCTTCAAATTCTTAGGTTATCTTTAAATCTGGTTATTATATATTTTTTTCTATTGAATTATGGAAGTTCCTTATATATTTTGGAGATTAATCCTTTATCAGATATATGGTTTGCAAATATTTTTCCCCATCCCTTAGGCTACCTTTTCACTCAATTGACTGTTTCCTTTGCTGTATGGAGGCTTTTTAGTTTGTTGCAGTTTTTGGCCAGGGCTGGGTTTGAACCTGCCACCTCTGGTATATGGGGCTGGCACCCTATTCCTTTGAGCCACAGGTGCCACCCAGGCTTTTTAGTTTGATATAGTCTTGCTTATTTTTGCATTTTTTGCCTATGGTTTTGGTGTCAAATTCATAAAATCATTGCTCTGATCAATGGCAAGAAGATTTCCCTTTAAGTTTTCTTCTAGGAGTTTTGGAATTCCAGGTCTTATGTTTAAGCTTCTAATCCATTTTTGAGTGATTTTTTTTGTGTATGAGAGTTCATTTGTACTCTTTTGCATGTGGATATCTAATTTTTCCAATAACTTGCCTAAGAAACTGCCCTTTCCCCATTGTGTATTCTTGGTATACTTTTAAAAGATCAATTGACCCTACATGCCTGAGTTTGTTTCTGGACCCTCTATTCTGTTCCATTGGTTTATATGTCTGTCTTTATGCCTGTACCATACTGTTTTAATTATCATAGTTTTGTTTTATATATACAGGGTATCCCAAAGGTTGCCCAGAAAATCAGCTTACACAGGGAAAATGGGAAATTATAGCTAAATGTACCTTTATTTACAAAAGGTTCATTACGAAATTTTACAAAACATTCTCTACATGTTGGTCACCTCTTTGTAAAATTTGGTAATAAACCTTTTGTAAATAAAGATATATTTAGCTACAATTTCCCATTTTCCTCATGTATGGTGACTTTATGGGTGATTTTAGGATACCCTGGGTGTGCACACACACATACACATGCATATATAAAAATTCTCTTATTTTGTTGCAGTCAAATAACATTAAATGAAAGACATTTATATTATTTTTATAAAATTCATTGATGTTGCCCAACTTGTCACATATTTGTAAAGACAAGGCTTATTAATTCAGATATTTGGAATTAAAAAATATTTGAAGTTGGCCACAGCATAATGAATCCTCAACTTCCAGAGTTTTAGAGATGATTATATACAACAATCTGGTAAAACTTATTTTACTCAATTATTAGTTCTATGTCACTCCTAAATTTTACTTTAAAAATGACTGTTGAGATCTAGAAGCAGATTTTTGCTCCTTCTCCAGTCTCTGGTTTGGCCCACCTGCCTCTACTCCAGTCTTCACCATGTCCATCAGGGTTACCCAGAAGTCCTACAAGGTGTCCACCTCTGCCCCACGGGCCTTCAGCAGCCACTCATACAGCAGGGGGATAGGTGCCCACATCAGCTCCTTGAGCTTCTCTCGGGTGGGCAGCGGCAGCTTCTGGAGTGGCCTGGGCACTGGCCTGGGTCTGGCTGGAGGCTACACCGGGGCTGGAGGTATGGGGGGCATCACAGCTGTCACAGTGAACCAGAGCTTGCTGAGCCTGCTCACCCTGGGGGTGGACCCCAACGTTCAGGCCGTGCACACCCAGGAGAAGGAGGAGATCAAGACCCTCAACGACAAGTTTACCTCCTTCATTGACAAGGTGCGCTTCCTGGAGCAGCAGAACAAGAGGCTGGAGACCAAGTGGAACCTCCTGCAGCAGCAGAAGACGGCTCGCAGCAACATGGACAGCATGTTTGAAAGCTACATCAACAACCTTCAGCGACAGCTGGACACACTGGACCAGAAGCTGAAGCTGGAGGCAGAGCTTGGCAACATGCAGGGGCTGGTGGAGGACTTCAAGAATAAGTATGAGGAGGAGATCAACAAACATACAGAGATGGAGAAAGAATTTGTCCTCATCAAGAAGGATGTGGATGGGAGGGGGATTGGAAGGATCACTGCTGTGGTTTATCTTACAAGGGTACAAGTGAATCTTTCTAAGAGTAGAATATGAACGTTTTAACACAATAACTAAGAAAGTGACATGAAGGCTATGTTAACCAGTCTGATGGAAATGTTTCAAATTGTATGTGAAAATACCACACTGTACCCCAGAATTGCATTAATGTACATAGTTACCATTCAATTAAAAAAAAAAAAAAAAGAAGAAGAAGAAGGATGGGAATGAAGCTACATGAACAAGGTGGAGCTGGAGTCCCGCCTGGAAGGGCTGACTGATGAAATCAATTTCCTCAGGCAGCTGTATGAAGAGGAGGTCGGTGAGCTGTAGTCCCAGATCTCAGACACGTCTGTGGTCCTGTCCATGGACAACAGCTGCTCCCTGGACATGGACAGCATCATTGCTGAGGTCTGCGCCCAGTACAAGGAGATTGCCAACTGCAGCCGGGCTGAGGCTGAGAGCGTGTACCAGACCAAGTACGAAGAGCTGCAGGTGCAGGCTGGGAAGCACAGGGACGACCTGCGGCGCACGAGGCGGAGATCTCCCACAAACCGGAGTATCAGCTGGGTCCAGAAAGAGATTGAAACTCTCAAAGGCCAGAGGGCTGCCCTGGATGGCTCCATCGTGGATGCTGAGCAGCGTGGAGAGCTGGCTCTTA